TTTGGGTTTTTTGAGGAAAATTGGAGAATACTTACAGCTTTCAAATAAGAAATGGATAGATATTTTAGTGTTTTAAACTGAAACTTGATGTACCAAAGTAAACAATAAAAGAATATGAAAGTTTCTCAAATAGTACCTAAATGTGGAATATGAATTTAGTTTCGAGCTCACAGTACATAAAATGTTATGTACTCTTGCAGTAATGTTTCTAAGAAAATTATATTTCATAGAAGTGTAGTCACTGATCTGACACAGGACTTCAAATAATGTTCTTTGTGGTGAGAGGGGAGAGAAAATCTAGAAACTGTGATGTCAACAGTGTTTATTAACATATTGGAGTTTATATTTTTATGTCTTTGCTGCACTAGCTCAATAGTACATTTTTAAAAATTCTTCCAAACAGAAGAATACAATGCTACTTGCAAATTCTTTTCATGGTTAATGTAACTCAGACTACATAAAGAACCTAATACAACAATGAGCTATTATTAAAATTAATTTGATATGTATCAAAGTATCATATTAACATTAATACCTTGTGCTTTAATTAAGCTCATGAAAGCCAGTACAAGATAAAGATGAAATGAGCAAACAACATTATCTAATAACATTCCTGTTGACAATCTAATAGCATTTTCTTCTGACCGTTTGGGAGCATGCTTTCCATAGAAGTCATTCTAATTGTTCCAGAAAATTGAAAATCTAGTTACAAGAATCAATTGGTAAAACACTGCAACCTGTGTGTTGCACATCAAAAAGAAAAGGAAACATCATATTTATATCAAATCTCTATTTCATGGTCTTTAGCACTTTAACACATAGTTTTCAGCATTTCACTGTCATTAGAAATTGCAGTAAATTTTATTATATTGGTTGGTTTGAAACATTTTTGTACTTTTTTCATGCTTTTTGGAAAATTTTTATGATTTGATTTGAAAAAAGGATAAATAAATGAGACCTAGATCATCATGACACTTTTCTTACAAGCATTTTATCATTTGTTTTCTTTCTAGTATACAGCTTTCCAAGTACAGCTGTAAGGGTATTTGACTGAAGGTGAAGCTAAAAGAGCAGAAAATGGTGAAGATAGATGGTCAAGGTACAGTATATACACAGAGCAAAATTGTTAAAAAATCACATTTTAGAAATTTAAACAGCAGTCTATGAATGGAAGAAAAAGTGTACAGCAGCTTTTGTATAGTGTTCAGCAAAACCAGGACCAGTCTAGGGACTTAAAATCATTAATTGTTCAAATTCTTCTAAAGTTCAAACTTTAAAAGTTTTGGAAGCCAAAACTTAATAAAAAGCCAATAGAAGATTAATTATCTCAGCTTTTCTAGAGGTCCCAAGTCCTGATAGGCTTCTGTCATTACTTGTTCCTATTTTGCAAGACTGAAAAATTCACTTTAGTGCAAAACATTTTGAAAGTTGCCAGAATTGCTGCTGAAACTGTCTCTTTAGCACAAATAAGCAAAATAGGGATAGAATTTGATATGGAATCTTACAGAGAATTTAAAATTCTTAAGAGAATCTCTTGTCAGATTTCTTCTTTGACTTTGCTGTCTGATATATTTGTATACAGACACACATATAGATATTCTTCTATCAAAGTTTTGATTATTTAGTTTCTTTACTTTGAAAATCTAGCTATATAAAAAATCATCTTTTAACTGGTCCAGAGATAGTAAATGCCATGTTACTTTTTTCTTTCTTTTTCTTTGATTTCTAAAAATATATTTTTATAGGATATACAAACTTTTGATGATTTTGGACTGAAATTATTTAATTCAAATGCATATAGTAAAGCATGACTTATAAATTTTAGTTAACACCTATTGATAAAATATTTTATACATAACAATGTTACGAATAGCAAAGTATGTAGTTATAATTCACTATAAATTATCTATAAGTAAAATGGAGTTTAGTGGTAAAGGGCTTTCTGATTCTGTATTAGGCTTCATTTTAGTGAGAAGTTACAAAAGAAAATTCCTAAAAATCCCTAGCAGAGTAGTATTGCTTGGGCATGGTTTGAGGTTTCAAAGTGATCACCTGAGTGCAGTTAGGCTGGAAATACATGAACACATGTCACTTCTTTGCGTAAATTTTTTATAGCTTGAGAACACTGTTATTGCCATCCACCCAAGATGTGTGTGTCACTCAGCTGAACTGGACTTTGTGCAACGGATCATTAAAGGCAGTTTTTTGAAGGCTTCCTGAGAACTCAAAATGCACTTGGCCAAGTGATTCACATAGTTTCCTGTCAATGTCAGAACTATCTGCATGTCAGTGAAAAGGACAGGAAGTGTTTTTGATCTTCAATAAAGCAGGAAAGAAACAGAAATCCTTCCAAGCCCTTTAAAGTGTTACATGTTAAAGCACTTAGATGTTAACAAATGTGCATTAAGTAGAAGGTTCACTTGGATCTCTCTCATTATCCTTAAGTCAAAATACTTCTGTAGAGGAAGGAGTGGGGGTTACCCGCATTGTAAATTCATCAGTTTCTTCTCCTTCCCTATGATGTCTTCTCTACTCCAACAGGTCAGTCATTGAGTACTTCAGGTCATATTTTCTAGAGATGAATCTCTCATTTTTCAGTGCTCAAACAGCTCAAATGTAATGACTTGCTTATCTAGATGGATGCAAGCAGAACTTTTCTTTAAAAAAATTATTTTTTATATCAGAGCTTTTGTGTACTTAATCCTTGATTATACCAGCAACAATTTCATTCATAAAATCTGAGGTGTGGGATTTGTCTTTTATTATTGTACCATGTAATCTATATTAATAAATTCTGTTACCACTTTTCAAAATTATCTTTCTTATACTAACAAGTAATTTCTGTGTGTTCACGAGCTAGGTTGTTCTTACTGTCTCTTTTCTTATATCCTTATTAATAATTATCATTTCACCTGCTGAATTTTTCTTTAATATGTCAACATGTGTAATGAAAATAAATCTACTCAGGAAGTAGAATTTTTATAAGAAAAATTAATCAGCAGGTGCAGCTTCCTTTACATACATATTCATGTACATACATACTTCAGCCAAGAAACTCTTTAAATTATCTGTACATATTTTCAGCAAGACTAGAAGAACACAGGGCCTGAAGAAACCAATTAGTACTTTTTAAAATTGCACCATTTCTGGATGCATGAAATTTCTTCTTCAGAAATATTCTTATGGACATACAGATACTGACAGGAATGATTAATGTGGCCCCTAATTATTTCACCCTTAAAATCTGGAAATTGTAATTGATTTTTGGTCTTAAAACATGCCTATCTACCTAGGTGACACACTAAATCCCAACACCTCTATTCTTTAAACCCCTGAGGAGAGCACTTACATAGAATAATAAAAAGTCCTCTTTCAGAATCCCAGTTTTACTGACTCTATCAGGCATTTCACTCCAGGCCTTCTAAATTCCATATTGTAACATATTTCTGAAGAATCTTCCCTAAATGTTTTTTGTTTGCTTTTTTTGAGAAAAACTGTTCTAATTTATGTAGAGTAGAATTTCAGTATTTATTCAGAATTTTTTTTTAAATGTGGGAATTACTATATATATATATATATGTAATGATCTACATATCAATATCTATCTATATCTTTATCCAGATGATATTTTTATTTTTTATGCAAAATACAACAGTTTGCATTACAAAGTCTCTAGACCACTCATAGAGCACAAGTTCTTTAATTCGACATGTTTCTCCAAATACCCTCTTCACCAGGTGAGGTGTTCAGAGTTCTCACCTTAGATTAGGGGCCATGTGGAGACACATTTTTATGCTATCCCTGATACTATTTTATCCTGGTTTTACAATACCTGAGATCTTGAAATGTCTTCCTACAGATTTCCAGCTTCTGCCAATACTTGTAGTCAGTTGCTGCAAAAAGCCACCCTGTCACTTTATTTTAGCACTTTCCTAGGAATTTGCATAGACAAGCTCTTTTAGGCTTATTCCATCTGTCCAGAATCATGTTTTGTTCCTTTATTCCTTAAAAGGTTAAGTTATTGATAGTCATCAATGGCTTTTCAAAATTTGCAATGCTTAGATATGAAAAAGGGATTAGATCAGATCAGCAGGCATTTGAAATTATTGTCTCTTTATGAATGGTAAGAGCGAATTTGAAAAAAACCCCACATTTTCAGTTTAATTTAAAAGAGAAAAAATACAGGATCCTATGACTCAAAATTAGAAGTAGTCTAATTTAGACTCAGTTTACATCTTTTATAGTGAAATTATTTAACAAAAATTAGTGAACACAGTATGAAGAATCCCTCTTCAAGTGAGATTTTGAAAATGACTGTTTTTCCCCATAAAGTATTCATATAATAAACTTTCAGAATCTGTTGTGTACAGTAAAAGATTATTATAGTTGCCTTATGAAAGAGTACTCCAGAATTAGATGAATGATGCATGGTCTTAAAAGATGCACTCTTGGTTAACTTACTAAAAATGTGTCGATTTTAGTAGGGCAAATCTCATTAAAAAAATAAAACAAAAAAACACCAAATTAACAACCTCCCCCCCAAACCAACATAAATTATTTAAATTTAATCAATGTGTATTAAACAACCTGTATGAACCATAAAGAGAATGATACATAAACTAAGAAATTAACTAATTAAGATATATGTTAGCCCAGTAGCCCTGAAGACAAAAGGATACATTGGTTTTCAATTTCATGTGATCACAGGAAATGCGAGACAGATTGAGAATTTTTAGTTAATTAGAAATTTCCTTAACTAGAGACTACTCAGGAGTTTTTTTTCAGAAGCAGAGAGTAGAATTCAAGTAAAGCACAATTACTCTGAACACATGGCAATTTTATTTTGTTTTATTATCTAAGATATTACCTTGAAAATTTCTGACTGGTCAGAAGAGGAAACTTTTTCACAATGCCATTGGAATAATGCCTTCAGGAAAGTGGTGAATTCCCCAATGCTAGACACTTTTAAGACTGTTGGACAGCATGCTGTGCCATCTTACCTCGATTTTGTTTTTGCCAAGAAAAGTTGAATTAGCTGATCTTGAGGTCACGTCCAATCTGAAAGTCCATCATTCTATGAGTCATGATTTGTAGCTACTAACCTTAGCTTGGCTTTATACAAGAAAAAACGAACACTTTGAATCATGAGTCACCTGCTTTTTCTGGCCAGAGAGAGTGTTCTTGACATGGACTCACTTCATTCCACTGTGCTGAATTGTAAAGTCTGGATGCCAGCTTTAAAGAGAGAAAAATAACTATATTCTCCAAGCATTCTTATAGATCTTAACTGTGTCTCCTTTCCAATAGAAAAAAAACCACTAAAATGTTATCTAATGAAAATGAAGTACATTCTGTTCTTTGTTTTAAACTACAGCTTGTCTCATATTTATTCCTGAATTAGACTACTTTGGAGGATCTGGATGGAAACAATACAAGCTTATCCATAACCAGTTTCAAGAGTCATGGTAATAAACTAAAATTATTGTTCATTTTCTTTTTTGTGTGCTTCTTGAAAAAATTCTATCAGCTTGAATCATAAATTCAATATAAAATAGGCTTACAATTAAAAGAGATTAAGATTCGCCTCTCTTGCATTTCCTCTCCTTCCTATTCATAATGTATCTACCAATCTTTGCAGAAACATAATAAATTTGACTGTATGTTCCCTGGTTCTCTATATTTTTTGACCTTTTTAGCATAGGAGCATGTGCCTGAGAATGCTGTCTCAGCAGAAAAAGCTTTCCTACAAGACCAAGCAGTAAGCTGAGGGAAAGTGTATTAGTAAAGTGGCTTCTGTATGCCAAGGCGAAAGCAGGAGAGAGAATGAGGCAGGCTTTGCTTGCTCTGCAATTCTTTAGAAGATGCTGAATTCTGTCTGGCCTCTCTCGGGGGCCTAAAACAACTCCACAATGACTAAGGAGGCAGTTGCAGCTAATTAGCCCTGAAGATCACAGAGTAAGTTTTTATTGCTCTTAAAAAAAAAAAAAAAATCCCTTAAATTCTCCCTAGATATAACAAAAACTTCTGTCATCTTTCCATTATCTTTCCTTTACAGTTTCTATGAGAAATGATCCACTTGTCACTTGAGTCAGCTTCTGGCTGAAGTGCCCTATGAAGAGAGGGCCACAATCTTCTGATTTGTAATAGCTCACACACTGTTCCAAAGGACAAGAACTCCTACCTCTCACCCCAGACAAGAGAAATTAGCATCTTTGCTTCACAGCACATGCTAATTTTGACTGGGGTAAGGTTTTTTTCTTAGTGGCCGGTATGGGGCTGTGTTTTGGATTTGTGTTGAACACAGGGTTGATAATATAAAAATGATTTTATTATTGCTAAGCAGGTCTTACACAGAGCCGAGGCATTTTATGGCCTCCTATTGCTGCTCATGAGAAGTTGGTAGGAGACACAGCTGGGATAGGCAACTCCAACTGACCAAAGGCATATTCCATAGTATATGTTCACTATATAAAATAGGGAAGGAAGAAGGAGGAAGAGGTGGGGTGTTTGGGGTGATGGTGTTTGTCTTCCCAAGTAACTGTTCATGCATGATGAGGCCCTGCTCTCCTGGATAAGGTGGATCTACCTGGCCATGGGAAACAGTGAATGAATTCCTTGTTTGTTTGTGTGCATGGCTTTTGCTTTCTTTATGAAACTGCCAATCTTGACCCATGAGTCAAGATTGCTATTATTCTGCTATTATTCTGATTCTCTGCTGATCCTGCTGGTGGGTAGTGAGTGAGAGGCTGGATACAACTTGCTTGATGGTTGAGGTTAAACCATGATACATCTTGAGACAATCTGAGAGATGCTGAAGTGTCATGAAATCATATATTCCATAATCCTTTCTGTACCACCCCATACAACACAACTACTAAGAAGGCACAGGGTAAAGGAAAACAGTAAAACATCTGCTTTTAAATCACAAATATATCAGAAATATTATAAAAAAGAATCAAAACTTCATTTACTGAGAAAGCAAAAATTGCCTAGAACTTAATAAGAAAAACATGTGATGGGAAAGCATCTAGAACTGAAGGACAGAAGGAAGAGATCAGAGGAGATTTCAGGTGGTTCAAAATTAACATTAAGGACTGCAGTGGTTCAAAATTAACATTAAGGACTGCAGTGAGTGGGTGAACAGGTGAACAGGATCCTTGAGGGAACAGCAATATAGAAAGGAAGACTTGCCCATACCACCTTACTTTTGTTTCCCTCAAAACCAATTTCTCTGAAGAAGCAATGTAGTGGAGCTCTGAAGAGAATGCATTACTAGTTACTGTGAATAGTATGAATGGCAGTAGTATGAATGACAGGCTAGCAGTCTGCTAATGGACTGTCTCCTGTGAATCTTCCAAACATAGCATCAAGGCAGAATGCCAGAGGTAGCTGTTCAATTCATATGTGTATTTAGTAAAAACTGGTGTCAAGCTGAGATAGAGAAAAGAAAATATGTGCTCAAATATTAATATCAATTCTTTGTTTTTGCAGTATTTCCTAAATGGGGGTACTACAAAGAATTTCCCACTTTTCCCACAGCCCAAATACATTGAATGAGACCTTGAGCAATGAACAGGTGCTTTGCCAGTATTTGTAATGATTCTCCTTCATGGTATGATACTGATGATTTTCATCATATGATCATTGAATAATTTAGGTTGTAAAGGATCTTCAGGGTCATATTGTCTCCATCTTACTGCAGTCTCAAGCAAATTATGTGGTTCAAATTCTTTTCAAGTGTTCCCTGGAACTTTAGACTAAAAAACTAAGACTCAGAGTCTGCTCCTATTAATGTGCTTATTTGAGCGAATCAGTTTCTCAAAGCTTTGTAGGAAGCTACAATAACATTTCAAAGCTGAAGAGTATCTGTTTCTTTTACTGCCTAACCCTTGCATTGCTCTATTGAACCATTGACAGTATGCCAGAAATCTCAGAGACAGTTTGTGTACTCTTTCTTATTAATTCTATTACTGGTATCTGTCAGTCTTACAAAGCAATATATCAAAAGACAAGGTCAAAAATTTTATTTTTTCTGCCTAAAACAGAATGTAAAATTACACAGTGATATCATAGTGGGTTGACCCTGGCTGGATACAAGGCACCCACCAAAGCTGCTCTATTACCTCCTTCCACAAATGGATAGAGGAGAGAAAATATAGTGAAAGGTTCATGAGTGAAGGACCAGGATTTAGTGTACCTAGTTTTTAACTATAATTATCCTCAGAAGAGATGTTCTCCTATTGTAAATATAGGTGAACCCAGTGGGAAGAAATGATGATGTCTGACTCCAGTTCAGAAGACTGAATGATTTCTTTATTATAATTATAGTATAATACATTAATATACTATTTAAAGGAGATACTAAAACTACATACCTGCTTTTCTAAATACCATACCTAACTAGCTCACAACTTGTGACCTTCCCTCGAGAGTCCAGACACAGGTGGATTGGATTTGCCATAAGGCTCAAACAATTCTCACCAGAATCCAGTCAAGAAATCACCCCAGGTAAACAATTCTCCAGACACGTTCTACATGGGAAAAACAAGGAGCAGAAAAAGAAATTTTTGCTCTTTCTTCTTTCTGTGCTCCTCTATGAAAAAATCCTGAGAGAGAGAAGAATGTGCCTACCACATTTTCCCCTTTTATTCTTAACATTTATATAATGTTACTATTCTCTTTTTCATTACTGAGAATGAGTGGCATTGAACTAATTACTTGTGTGCTGATTACAAAGCATTCTGTTCATTCCTCATTAACCTTATGAGCCACTAAGAAATATTGAGCTGACCTGACATATTTTCTTTGTCCCCTTTGTGGCTTGTCAGGCACTTAATCACTATATTTCCGTAGGAATTACTTATAGCTTTGTCAGTGTGCATTTTTGTTTTCACATTACTATACCAAAACCGTGAAGATTTGGAATGCTTACATGCAGGTCTAATAGAACAGAATAATTTTTTCAAAAGCAGTAGTTGCAATGTAGAGCAACTTACAATGACATTGAATTTAAACAACACAGAAAAGAGAAGGGTCAGAAATAAGCTCATCTTTTTTTTAGATAAGGAAAATATTGACTGTGACAACATTGACAATATTCCAAGAGTTGTATACGTTACTTACTTATAATTAAGTAAATCATAGTTAATTAGGTGTAAACTGAGAGAACCAACCCAAAAGAATTAATAAGGATCAATTCATAATGTTTGATTTACTCTCGTGAGTGTGCTCTTGTTTTCAGGCCTTCGGGTTAGAGTTCATTCCACCAAGATTTATTGCCCACATCTGAACCAGCCCACATCTGAACTCTTTTCACAGTCAGTTGTGGTGGGTCGACCATGCCTGGATGCCAGATATCCACCAAAGCAGTTCTTGTCATTCCTCTCTACAATTGGACAGGGGAGAGAAAATAAAATGAAAGACTCATGAGTTGAGATAAGGACTGGTAGAGATCTCTCACTGAATATCATCATGGGCAAAGCAGACTCTGCTTGGGGATCTTAATTAAATTTATTAATAATGAAAAATTAGAGCATGATAATGAGAAATAATATAAATCTTAACACCTTCCTGCCAGTCCTTCCTCCTTCCTAGGCTGTACCTCCCCCAAGTTTTCCAAGAACTGCTCCAACGTGGGTCACTCTTCCATGGGGTGCCATCCTTCTGGCACACCCTGCTTCAAAATGGATCCCCCACATGGTTGCAAGTCTTACCAGGAAACCTGCTCCAGTGTGGTGCCGTCTCTCCACAGGTCTGCAGGTTCCTGCCAGGAGCCTGTCCCAGCACAGGCTTCTCATGAGTTCAAAGCCTTCTTTCAGGCACTCACCTGCTCTGGCATGGATCTCCTCTAAGGGCTGCAGGTGGGTCTCTGCATCATCCTTGCCCTCCATGGGCTGCAAGGACACAGCTGCTTAACTGTGGTCCACAAGAGAACCTCAATTCCAGCCCTTGGAACACATCCTTCCCCTCCTTCTCTGCTGACTCTGGTCCAAACCAAAAGATAAATCTGTTCCAGCTAAAACTGTTACACTACCTCAGGTATAAGTGTCTACTGTGTTTCTTTCTGCTTGGTGAAAAATCCTATCTGTGTCTGAATGCAGTTACAACTTTAATTACTGGATTCTTTTTGTTTTTTACCAGACATTACTTTTTAAAATTTTTTAAAATTAGTTCTTTTTATTTTCACATTCAATTTGCTTCAAGAGTGATACCTGTACATGT